GACATGTTCCTCGTTCGGGAGCACGCCTCACAAGATCGAGCCCTGTTTCGACGAACTGTCTCCCCCCCCTCCCAGCGCCGCCTTCTGTGCAGGAGAACCGTGCAGTCCGGGGATAACGTCGTTTCCTCCGCCGAACCACTTTGCAGTTCCGGGTATGGCTACGTCTCCCCCTCCGAGCCCGAGAACTGGTCTGAGAGAATGGACCAAAGACGCTATTTAAGGCCGAGCCGGCCCCATGTTAGGAGATTTTTGCCCCAGCCGACGTTGTCGTGCTGGCCGGCTTTGTACAAACGACAACCTGCTACAGTAAACGCTCCTTTTGTTGCTGTTTTCCAAACGGATTGCCTCCCTGTTTCACCTTCGGGCTAAGGCTTCATCGAAGTCCGCTCGACGGCACGCCTCTCTTCGCCACCGCTACCATCGCGACAGAGCAAATTCATAACAACCCTCATGTTGGCGCAGCTGACGCGGTACTCTTTTTGCCACGTGATATCACGCCCATGCTGCCCCTGCTAGTTCCTGACGGACTCGTCTTCATCCAACCATCCAGATCAATAACATCACCTTCAACCAAGTATTTAAGAAGCCAGCACATCTTGAACCAATTCAGAGGTCAAGGCAACAGTGCTTCTGTACCAGCACTGAATGAATCACTTTCCTTTTGCAATGCAGGGGCGTACAAACATTTCTTTATACGCAAAAGAAGTAACAATGCCTGCTTATTGCTAGTTCCATGTCCACGGGTGTTAAGTGAAGTTTCTTATGAGTGCTTTTTTATGCCCTTTTTACTGTTATACTCCAGTGACGTTGAGAGCAACGCCGGGTCCCCTATGAAGTGTTTGGACACGCTCGGTGACACAGCACCTTTACCCTCCAATCCCGCTAAACGTATAAAAGTCATCCTTCAAATGCTTAAATATGTTCACACCCGTTCACTGAAAAGTTCAAGAGTGCAGACTGAATTAGTGGCTGATGTCGAAACAATTAAACCTGGGCATAAATCTATTGAATCCAAAATCACTGCTATTCAGAATCACCTCGAGGTACTGGAGTAAATTTATAAAAACGCCAGGTCTGCGCGGTAGGCGCAGTCACAGCGAAAGCTCGAAGAGCAACTTTTCAGAGCCTTTTCAAAACACTCATTGGGGAACTACTGCAAGCACACTTGCTTGGTACGAACTAGGGCATTAATAATAAACTTTTGGGTAGTAGGCCGGCATTCGCTATATTTTTCGTCATTCTTCTGAGAAGCGCAGTATCCGCTAAACTATTGCTAGAAATTTTGTGCCAATTGTCCATGCAGTGGTTGATTACGATGATGAATTATGGCTGAAGAGGGTATGCGCCACAGTTAATAGGGAAACAAGAACAAGCTTTCATAATGAGTTGGAGCATTGGTCGGCCCACTCGTTACGCTAATCGAATTATGCAATGACTGGTTCTTTCGCTGTTGTAAAACGCTTTATAAGTCGTATTAACGTGATTACTTTCCTGACATCAAGCCTGCCTAAGACAAGTTTGTCAAGTTACAAGCACCGGCGTAACTCAGTGGTATAATATTGGGCTGGCACACAGCGGACCCGGGTTCAAGCCTCACTGTGTCATTGGTGCAAGGTTTTTTTTTTTTTTTATTTCGCCCGACGTGGTTACGGACACCGGCGACGGAATACATGCAACTGCGCGTGACCTGAGTTGTGATCTTATAACAGCTTTTGCTGTAAAAGCTAGAAGAAGTTAGCCAGGCAGTTCTCAGTATCCATACTCAGATGAACTTTCCGCACAGGTCTCCCCAATGCAAACACGCATACAGGATCACGATGACAGACTAAGACGCAACAACTTAATATGGTATTCCGGATAAGGAGGAAACCTGGCAAAAGACAAAAGAAAAAGTTCTTTCCCCTCTCATCTGCCACCTTTCTTCTCCCCTTATTTCTGATGCTATTAAATGTGCACACCGTCTGGGTGCCTTCCGCCAGGACAAGTGTGGACCAGTCATTGTTAAATTGCTATCCTATAAAACAAAAGATGCATTATTTGCGACAAGTATAAATCTGAAGAAAGATAACATTACTGTCACAGAGGCTTTCTTACCTGTTACTTATGCAGCCCGAAAAAAAAAAAAAACTTGATTTTCCCAATAGTCAACCAGGGCCCCCAAACATAAATTGAGGTACAACAAGCTAAATTTAAACCAGAAATGCTACATGTATGATCCAAATACCGACGCAGTCATCCAGACTCACCAGCGTAATACACCAACACATTCCCCTTCTGCGACTTTCAGGGCATAGGATTGTGCCAGGGGCAGTGGTGATGCGCCTCAAGCTTCTGTATCGTTCCTTTTATTCAATATCAGAAGCGTTCTTAATAAGTACCACTCCCTATCATCAGCTATCGACTCGTGTTCCGCTAAAATTGTCTCATTGACAGAAACTTGACAAACGCGCATGTACGCGACATTGAAATATTTCTAAATGCTGATCGTATCTCTTTTTTCCTCTGTGACCCCAGCACACAGAAAGGCGGTGGCGTACTTTTGGGTATTTGCAACGATATCCCATCATCTCTTCACGTTCAAACTAACCTAGAAATGGTATGGGCTGTGATAACGCCTAGCCGCCAGAATGTAGTTATTGGAGTGTGTTATCACCCATCGTCATGTGCATTCAGTGGTGACCTTCAAGATGCTACAAACATTTTTACTACACCTTTTTCCACATCTCCTCTGCTGTTCTTAGATGGCTTCAATTTTCCTAACATAGATTGGAATTCCCATTCTGCTTAAATTTTTCCACTCTCGTCGCAAGCTCGTGATTTCTTAAATGTCTGCTCGGTATCCTCATTACAGCGAATGTGTACACAACCAACAAGAATAGCTGCACATGTTTCAAACACACTACACTTAATACTTACAAACAGTTTGAATATCATTTCGCCCATAACTTCCCTTCCAGGCCTTAGCGTTCTTTTGCTCCTATATTTTGACATTAAATAATTTGCCCCTCCGAGAACAAACAAAAAGAAAAAAATGATATGCAACTATAACAGGGGTAACTTTGATGCCATCAACCAAGAATTCGCTAAGTTCACCGATCATTTTCTTGATGCTTTTGGCGATAAGAGTGTCGATAAGTGTGAAAAATTGGTAAGGTCATTCCAATTTACAAATCTGCCAGCAAAAGATCTCCTCTTAACTATCGCACCATTTCTTTAATCTAGCACATGATATTCACCAACCTTGTCATTTTTATTGAATAAAACTGGTTTTTCTCTTCAGCACAACATGAATTTAGAAAACATTATTCATGTGGGACTCAGCTCACATCATTTACTCATGCTCTACATCAAGTTCTCTACCGATCGTCAATCATCGATTGCATATATTTAGATTGTTGTAAGGCATCTGACAAGTATGTCATAAATTACTGCTGCTTCAACTAAACAATCTCAATATTCATAATAATTTTACTGAAATAGATTGAATGTTTCCTGCTAAACCACTCACAATTTTTTTCCTTTAATGGCTCTAACTCCACATTTACAAATGTTTATTCAGGCGTTCCTCGAGGCACAGTCCTTGGGCCTTTATTAGTTTGAATCTATATTTATGACCTTTCTTCTGTTGTAAGCTCTAACATTTTTCTATTCCCAGACGACTGTGTCATTTTCAGAGAAATAATGAATACTTACGATTCTCCCTAACTTCTTACTAATCTTGGTACAGTTGCTAATTGATGTAACAAATAATTAATTCAGCTAAATAGTAATAAGTGTAAAGTCATGCACGTTTCTAGAAAATCTTCCTGCCCACCACTTTACTACATTGATAACATTAATTTAGAATCACTAACTTCATATAAGTACCTCGGCGTGTACATCACAGCAAACCTCAACTGGTCTACTGACATTGTGCACTTAATTAACAAAACTAACCGCATGTTAGGTTACCGTCATCTAAATTTTTATCATGTTCCTCCTTCCTTGACACTCTACTCTATAAAACACTAATTCGATCGAAACTGGAGTATGCTCCACCGGTCTGGGATCCCACCCAAGCTTATCTACTTTCTACTCTCGAAATGATTCAGAATAACTTCGCACGTTTTATTCACTCTATTTACAGCTGCACTGCCAGTATAATTTCTATGAAATCAGACGTTTCCCTCCCGTCATTATCGCCGCGCAGGAAAGTGTCACGCATTCCCTTGTTCCATAAAAATGTATCATCACCCTGCACTACTGTGATCGCCTCATCCCTGCACCATTTTATGTATCCCATCGCACAGACCATCGTCATAAAGTCGGATTCACTTCATGTAATACTGCGCACTTTTATCATTCATTTCTGCTACGAACCTCTCATGATTGGAATGGCCTTCCCGTGGATGTTGTCAACACTTTCCATGATGAACAGTTCCGCAACTCCGTAGCTAATATTGTATACTCAGGCTTTTTTTAAACTCACTATAATTTCACATTTTGCGCTTGTTACATGTGTTTTGTTTTACTTTTTGTTTTATTATACTTCTTTTGTCCTTTTCTTTTTTGCTTTCTTTTGTGTGTCAAAGTGTTGCTAGCACTCCCCCTCTGTAATGCCTCTGGCCCTCAAGGGTATAATAAAATGAAATTAAATAACCATGTACAGCCACAGCCCGGCTTGAGAGCACCTGTACGCTCGCTTCTTATGGCCTTCGCATCAGGTGTAGTACATGCCTCTCGCTGCTGCTTCGAGGGGGGCACTGAGACACTGAGCTTCCTCCGACACTGAGCCTAATCGTTGAAGACGCACAAATGGTTTATGGTGACAAGGCTGTGCGGAAAGGAGCGCACGCAGGTGCAGTCTAGCCCGGCCATGGTAAAGCGTAACATTGCAAACAAAGGGGGAGTCAGAACTATTCAAGGGTTCAGAAAGTAGGAAAAGGCAATAGAGAAAGAAGTGGATGTAGAAAACAATAATGGAAGAAATAAACAAGAAAAAAGAAGACAAATGACTCCAATTCGTGTTCCCCAGGTGGTGGCGCTTGCTGGCCAGCTCCACTGTTTACTCAAATTGCACAGGCGTGAAAATGACTTCAATTTTTTACGGAAAAAACATATTGAAGTAAAATTACCTTACTCGTTATTATAAACAAGAACGCCTTTGTTACAAATTTTAAGAATTCGTTGAGTACAAACATGGTTACAAGAATTTGCCGCATGCTTTAAGTGCTTTCTCTTGCATTTAGCAAGTGAGCTTGAAAATTATGCATGAGGGGATGAGAGGAGGGCAAGTGCTTCCATCAGTGCTCATCATTACCTTAAACACTTTTTACTTTCTTTTTTTTTTCTTCAGACACGATTTATGTTTCACTGCTATTCCTGGGCATATGCAGGCACATTGCGCCATCCTGTGGTGACTTCTCCAAATATGCAGCTCACTGGGCTTAAATCATCCAATGCCGTGAACTTTTTGTGAATGTTTATTCATTCCAGCTTATGGCATCATTCGTCAGGAGACGATGGAGCGATTTCTAGATTACTGAGAATTGTGAATTCCATACCGGACGCTGCGCTATAATTTTTGAATATCATGTTCTCAAGAGCTTTGACTATCAATTCTTAGCATTTTCTGAACATGCTAAAGAAGTGTTGCAGGGCCATTTACAGTAATAATTACACAGCACATTTCAACTCTGACCTCATTACCCAAAGGAAGTTGAGTCAATTTTACATACATTCTCCTTACAATACATTACCATTATTAGGGCATACATTTTCATTACAGAAAACTATTACCTATAATTTGAATCTGTGTACACCACGTCACATCCCTGCTCAGTTTCTCAATAAGAATAAACTTAAAGTGGCAAAAATACCCAACTAAATGTTCCCTATCCCGAAAAATACTATAAAACTCAATTCAATCTACAAGTGCAGTCTAAGCAATGAGGCTGGAAAAAAACAAAAAGCAGCATGTTTGTCTGATATCAATGCCAAAAAATAGGATATTAAGCAAACAAGAAGCAAAATAAGAAAATAAACAAATTCAACTATGTACCTATAAAAGAAGCTTATCCTAAATTTCTCTTTTTGTAATCACCCGATACAGTAGTACTAAACTACTGTAATTACAGCCCATGCAAGTATCAGTATTTTCACCATACTAAGCGTGCCTATAACAAACAAAAAACATCAAACTGCCACAAACATCCATGCGTGAATCTAGTAGATCTTATGAATTGTGCAAACAAGTGAGCTTAAAAAAACAAAGATCAATCCCATGACAGTTCATATAAAATGCATAGACAACTGAGACAAAACAAGAGTCACCAGAAAATTGAGAAAATGACCCAATTACAATCAAAATGCAATGGCAGTTCAAGCATCATCTAAACCTTGTAAAATACAGATATTAACACAATGTTTGAAGTGTAATGTTGCTCATCCAACAGAGCTCTCAGAGTCCTTCCACATCTTGTGACGGGAACCTACAAAGATAAAAATAAAACAATGTATTACAAACAATAGACTAAGACATCAGCAGTTTTCAGCTCCCAAAATATTGCTATTTACAAAGCAGTTTTGAAATTCATTTTCAAAGTCCGAGCAGACTACATTTTTACAAATTGTGTTTCTATTGCAAAGTATTTCCTAACCAACTAACGCCCAATAAAACTGAGTAAAATGAAATTGCTATATGTGGCATATTCAGTCAAACATTACATGACTAGCAAGAGTAGTTTGCTATCAGGCATATCGCTTTTACAAACCTTGAACAAACAGCTATGATCAACTGCCAGACGCTCCAGCAGGGTTGCATACAGTAGGGTGATTGCCCTACTTGGGTACTTTAGGAATTTTTCAGCCAGCATAGGATAGCAGAGTGGGAACATAGGACAATTTCAACTATTCGCTCATCCCTGATCAGTCAGAAATGCAGAAGATCCGCACGACCTATACAAAGGTTACATTCCTAGAGAGATCCGAAGGAGAACTGTCGCAATTCGAATATCACCAGCCCAAAAGATGGAACATATTGTGTCAAACATCATTGTGCGACGTTTGTACGCTAGTTCTCTTTCTAGAGACACCTGTTTTTTTCCTCTCAGTTGTCTTCCATCTTTTCATTGTGTGGAGAGGCTTTTAAATTTTGTGACGGTAGAAGGCTTTAGTTACGAAGAAGAAAGCATTATTCACCCCATCCAACTGAATAGTGATAGTCTGTATCAATGCAACTGTTGCAGAAAATCATCGTGACATAAGCGGGATTCACACAAGGGAGAAATCCCCGGAGGAGAGGCGGGGATGGCGCATCACGTGACAATGACATCACGGGTTAGTGTGTCAACGCGAACTCCTCGCGGCTTCTCGTGGGAGGCAGGGATTGTTTCTCCTACTGGTCAAATGATCCCCGTGCAACGGGGAATGTAGCGGAATTTCAGGTGGGTCTTTGGCCACCTTCTAGCCCTCTCTCCTACAGTGCCTGCAGAACGTGGCGGCGGCTGTTTCAAATTACGCTCCGGACTTGTGTGCACAGGTATGGTGAAAATGAACGACGAAGTAACTTCTTTTCTCTCATGGAAGAATATCCTTGCTTGTGAGACATCCCTTCCGATCACTATAGTAAAACAAGCCTAAATAATGGTGTGTGAGAGACGATAGCCAAGCAGATGATGGAGCACTACCATCTCTATGGAATGATATTTAGTTTTGTTTTAAAGTGGTTATTCTGATGAGCATAATGACAATGCCTGCTTTTGTTATTACTGGTGCTGCAACTGCTCTGCTTCTTAAGCCTGATGGAGATGTCTTACTTTATAACAAAATTTTTAATGGGTCTCTTTATTCAAGATTAGATGCTTAAAATATAGGCAGCTGTATAATTCGAGAGCTGCTTTTTATTTTCAGAAACATGACATACTTCACATTTTACTTTAATTAGCTGCGCTGATGCAGCAGAATCTTAGGCTGAGTTCGCATTGTGAAGACAGAAGTGGTCTTCTTTACCTTGTGTTTTGAAATTATAATTCAATGCTTTTACAGATATTTGTCAAATAGTGATAGGCTAGATCCCTTCTGTTCTCGGTTGTTCTCATGACAGAAATGCTATGATGGCATAATTTCTTCACTCACAGAAAGCCAACCGACATCAAAAGATACCCAAATTCCTATCTACTGACTCAATAGTAGTATTTGACGAGTCAAAGAGGCTGTGAGCAATTTCGTAGTCGAAAAAAAAAAAACGTCAATGACGCTGCCCGGAATGTCGTTTTGGGCGATTTCGCCTTTGCAAAAAAAGAAAAACTTGCGGTGGTGAGTCAAACCAAAGGCAATGCCCCGTCTGCATTCCTCATACACACCATCATCATAGCAGTCATCATGTAGGCAAATTTCCATGCGCCAGCCTCGACATCTCTGAACAAGTGGTGCGCCACAGTTGCTCAGATTCCTCGAACATACACGTCATGCTAACCGTGCCCCTCTGGATGTGTTGGGAGAAAATGCGTGCCAGTGTGCCTATTGTCCAGAAACCTGCTTGACCAGCGGCGCGCACTGCTGAGGGAAGCAGCACAGAAAACAAGGGTGTTCGTGTCGTGTCGCACGTGTGTCGTATGTACGCTGAGCCGGTCTCAGAGCAGCAGTAGAAAGATTTTCTTTTCAAGTGCGCCCGTGTGGACATCAGCAGCAACATGCCAAGTTACAAATGATGACTTTTCTACAAGAAACACCAAAACGTGGCACGAGCCCACCACTGTTTTCGGCAGAGATTACCCCAGCAAGCAGCAGCAACCCCACTCACTCGCTCAACACAGGTAAGGCCACGTGTTACCAATACATATCTGTTCTTTACGTATCATACAAAACATTTATCGGTTCTTAGACCACGTTAACTATGGTCCATCATTTGTATAAGCCCTGCCAATATGTGGCATGTTTCCAGCTCTTCATTTGCTCACATATTTCTTGCTGTTAACCGATTTAGGGCGAGCACGTGGTCAGTGCCTGTACACCTTCTTTGGAAGCATGTGCTACACCCACTGGTTTTTCTCCTGTACTTGTCTGTGTGTACGTATTGTGGTTGCCATAAACACGCCCGAGTAGGATTTTTTGCTAACACTTAGTTTAGTAATGTCCGGAATATCCGATACAGATGTCCCGTCGTATGCCTGCTGCATATCCGTGGTTACTTGGGGAGAGGAGAAATTGACTGTGCGGTTAAACCCCTCTATATAAGACTCAAAGACCCTTCTGGCCTATTAGTGGTCTGGCTAGTAGCTTCTCCTGTGATGCCTTCCTCACACTTGCCGAAATGGAAGAGACCCAGGCGCATGTTTATTCAATGATGGTCACTTAAAGGGACGCGTAAGAGCAATACTTTCTTCACGTATTCGTAACGTACAATTTCACAATTCCGAAAACACCACTTCTACCACAACACCACAGTTGGTAAGCGCGAAAGTGTGCGAAAAGAAACTGAGGGTGGAGGTGCCACCTTGAGATTCCCGCACCAAACACTGTGGCGTCATCAATTTTTTAGGACGTCTACTGGGGCCCTATGTATATTCTAATCGCCAAACTTGAAGTATATTGTAACCTGTGGGTGCTATAGACTTCACATACGAAGTCTCAGATAATTTTATGGAGCCACTGGCGTGAAAATAGAAAATATACATTGTGAAATTTCCAATGTCACGTGCGAATATTACCCCGCTACATTTAAAAACGAAACTTCAACCTTAATTTCTCCATTAATAATGAACTTATGAAAGTGAAACTTATAACAGAGTTCTCAGAGTACAGCTTATCAGTCAAAAACAACTCAATGTTTCCCTTCAGTGTCCCTTTAACTCACCAAGCTCAGCAATAAAAAGAGTGTTCTCCAAACCACGCGGTAAAAAAAGACACTAAAACAAAAGACCGAAGTAAAGAAGCGTGGCTTCACAGCATTACAGATTTCCCTTAAGTTGTTTTATGGCACAGCAGTCCTGCACTGCAGTGAAACCAATATTAACTTCTTTCTTATGCATTTATAGACTGTAATGAATTCAACACCTGTACCATGTCTTATTACTCCACAAATCCTTTGAATGCAAGTCTACACGCATTATTATTTGCAAAGAACTATTCAAATAAAAACTGCTAAAAACTGGCTGAACAGAAGTGCATAGATCAACTTCAAGCACATTTCGGAACCTGTAAAAAATTTGAGGGTTTTCAATGCCATCAAAATGCTACTTGAAAATAAACACTGGAAAAAGGACACCAACCAGAGTATTCAATAACAATACAAAATCACGGCATATCCTCGCAGTGAATAATGGTGTGTGGGTGAAGCAGTGGAATTGTTCAGTGTTGCCGTAGTTGCCTGTAGCTTTGACCACTCACACATGTATATGAGTGCTTAGCGGTGTAGTTTTAGGGGCAAAGGTCCTCTTAGTCTAATTTTGTCATGCATCACGCATAACCGAGGGAAGAGACGAGAAAGAAGAGAAGGCAGTATCTCCCGAACAGTATAATATACAGTGATGTCTCATAGAAGTACATACAAACTGCACTTGAGTGGGAGTATTCTAGATGACACTGTACCGCTAACTCTACGAATGGCTGCTGCACGGGCTGTGCTTAGGTATGCGGAAAACGAGTGCCTCTCTCAGTCTCCTGGATAGTCGCCATATGTGGCGGATCGTTGGCGGGGCATGAACAAAGCAGGGTGGAGGGCGCGTTGATGCTTGCACTCAGTCTCCTTGGCTCGCGTCTCGTCGGTGTTACCCGTGCACTGTATGCATTCACAAACGCGATCGGATGCATGACGCGTGCACAGACGGACGGACACACAGACGGATGGACAGAAAAACCCTTCGCTCCACTCATCATAATTCACTCCGTGGATATGCCATGATTTTTTTATTGGTGATCAATGGTAAGTTTGTTGAGTTGTGAATTTCGTTTTGCCTTCATTATTACTATTTTGTGGTATCGGATCTAGCCTAAAGTTCACAGAGACGAGGTCTGGGCACGTTACCCTGCTGGTTGTTGGTTGTTTCCAGTCATACGAAACGCGTCGTAGAGCATATTGAAACATGATATACTGCACAAGCCAGCCATCTGTGATTATCACTGTCATCATATTCATTGTCATCAGCATCATCGGCATAGCATATACAGACTACCTCACATGTGCTGTGCCGTCAGGTCAGAAAGAGACTGTGTGCTTTGGAATGTGTTTTTCTTTGCAGGCCTTTCCAATATTTACGGCAGAATTCCTGATGATAAAGGTTGGTCCATGCGACATCATAATGAAATGAGCTTTCGTTTGGCCCATTATGACACGTTTGTTAAGTGTTTTCTACCCAGCTTTGCCATGTAGCCGCTTGCCCGTTCTGCGTTGTCTGACGTAACTATTTATTTATTTCCAAATACTGTTGGCCATCATGGCCGTAACAGGGTGGGTACAGTAAATGTAAACATAAAACAAAAACATGTACAACATATTGTAATGAACATTAAAAAAAAATACATATTGATCCAGAACAAAAAAATTATTTTAAAATGCTGCTTATAAAAATATACATATATTATGATGGTTGTATAGTATGCAATATGAAGTAACTGGTACACAATGTATTTTCAAACAATATGACAATGTACATACAACTCTATAGCAATACTCAATGTTCACGATATATTTTAATGCATTCTTCAAAGCTTTCTATGCTCTTCAAATTCAGTACTGGTACTGGCAACTGTCTCCCCTATTTTATTTTTAGTGGAAAAAAAAATAAGCGTACACATCAAGATTTCATTTTGGCCCCAAAAACACAAATTGATTCTATGATCTGACATTGCTGGAGGGCCTGGGAACAAGATAAGGTTTAGTTTCAATATTGAAGTGTCCTTTTGATAACAAAAAAAGAAATTTGTGTCAACCAACTTTTCAGCAGTAATCAACTGTGCCATCAACTGATTTCACCTTATTTTCTGCACTTTTGACTACGAAAGAGAAGATAAATAAACGTGTGTAGCAAAAAAAGACGAAATCCTAGTACGCTTCGTGCTTAGTATTGACAACATCCAAGCGCTTATGAAAAGAGGTGAGGTGGAGATTGTCCCTGTAGGAAAGGTATCCAGGCAAGAAAGCAAACACTTCTTTGAAATTGGAGCAGTTCAAGGGCACTTTATCAAGAAGAAGGACACTATTGCGGTTGCTGTCACCAGTGTATTGCTTTACACATATCACTATTCGCATCCCTGATACGGAACAACTTGTCACTATGCAATAGAGCTTTCTCAACAAAAACTAGAATGGAGTGCAAAATGCCTGCTTGGAATCACAAACGTGTGACGTGAACTCCGGGCATGCCTTGAGCCTTTGTGACTGAAAAGCAAACATGCGAGCTGGAACAAACTTACATTAGCTGACATTGGCGTCAAACTTCGATGAGGGTCGGCTCTTGTCCAGGGCCAGTGTCCTGGAGGCTCATATCCACATCAATGTCATAGTGGGAGTCTGCATATTTTCTTTAGGACATTGCCAGTGTTCTGATTGGCATCAAGGCAATAGGCATAGGCACAGTCAATGGCATCGTGCAATATTGCCTGATTGGCAACAAGGCAATAGGCACAGTCAATGCAAATCGCAAGAAACAAATAAACAAGAAACTGGTTAGTTGTCGAATGTGGAGTATAAATCAGGTACATATATAAATTACCAGTATTTGTGGCAGAAATGAGATCAAACCAAGAAATCTGACCACTACATTTTAGAAATAACTGCAGTCCCATATAACTGTTGCCAAATAAGCAGTAGGTAACCGAAGCACAAACCTACATGCTTACAAAAAGGGTTCAACTTAAATTTAGGACAACCATGCGAGTGATGAAAAGAAAAATGGTAGATGTAACCTTAAGAGACAAGATCATAGCAGAGTGAGTCGGATAACAGACCGGCATCAAAGATATCATAGTTGAACTCAAGAAAAAGAAATGAACATGTGCCGGGCATGTAGGCAGGATAACAGCTGGTCATTAAGGTTAATTGACTAGATTCTGAGAGTAGGCAAGCTCTGAGAAGAAGACATGAAAATTAGGTGGGCAGATGAGATTAAAAAGTTTGCACGTATAGCGTGCGACTAGCAGAAAGCACACGGACTGGAGGCAGCAATGGGGCATCCAGGCATATCGTCTCACGCATTTTTCTCTTCATGTGCAGCTATCTCGTCCTGCGGTCAACATTTCCAGGTGGAAAGCGAACCTGCTTATTCTGGTCAACGGCTTCTCATAAGCTTGTCTGGTGTTATCGGCTTCATCGCCTCGCCACAAGTCCGCCAGGTGTCGTCACTTCGTGTAACACCGCTCATAAGAAGCAGGGCCATCCCAGAGACTTCACTGGTGGCAGCGACGGTGCATCCGGCATATCGTCTCACGCATTTTTCTGTGCATGTGCAGCTATCTCGGCCTGCGGTCAACATTTCCATGTGGAAAGCGAACGTGGTTGTTCTGGTCAACGGCTTCCCATAAGCTTGTCTGGTGTTATCGGCTTCATCGGCTGGCCACAATTCCGCCAGGAGTCACCACTTCGTGTAACACCATTCATAAGAAGCAGGGCTGTCCCCGAGACTTCACTGGTGGCAGCGACATGCATCCAGCATATCGTCTCACGCATCTTTCTCTGCATGTGCAGGTTAGTTTTGTGAAACTTTACGCACCTTTTTCACTTGTTTTGTCGTTGCCACCACTTCTTTTTCCCTGTACCTTTGCTTGTACAGTTGTTTGGTTGTTGTTTTCCTAGCAAAATGCCATCAAATGCAGAGCTTGCCAAGCGGTTAGATGCACTTGAGGCTAAATTGAAAAATGAAAGCAGCAAACTCACTGACGATATTCTCGGTAAATTTTTGGTAAACCTTCAGTCCTCTGGTCTTGATGCTGTCGAACTAAAGAAACAAGTAGAAAACTTGGAATCAAGTTTGGATGTTTTAAATGACATTATTGAAGAACTGCGTGATTGAAAACTTGAAGCTTACAACAGATAACAAAAAGCTCATATCAGCAAACAAAGCGCTGTCCTTAAGGGTGGCCAAGCTCGAACAATACTCTAGAATGAGCAATGTTGAGGTGTGGGGCATTCCCTGGACCCAAGGGGAAGACTGCGTTGCACTCATGTAAACCGTTGGCGCGAAAATTGGGTGCCTGGTAACGGCGACTGATCTCGATGTTGCTCACCGAGTTTCCACTAAGTTTAAGACAAGAAAAATATCATAGCTAGGTTTTGTTCGCGACCAAAAAAAGATGAATATGTCAGTTAGGCACACAAAGCTAAGCTTCACCTAAGTGACATTGGTGTGAAAGTTTCTGTTGACAGTGCTGTCTATGTGAATAAGCACTTGACGCCACGAAACAAGGCGCTCTTCTCGAGGGCATTGGCTTTGAAAAAACAACACAAATGGCAATATCTGTGAATCAGCAACTGCCAAATCAAAGTTAGAAAAGCTGAGAAAACCGAAGTGTACCGCATAGCCAAGGAATCGGACCTCGCGGTAATTAACTAATCTGATTTTGATTTGTACCTGCCTTACTCTCATCCTCCTATCATGGCTTCATAATACAGCTCGAGTGAGTTAAACAAATTTTTTAGGAATAGTAATCGTTCTGTTATTCATTTATATGCACGCAGCCTCCGTAAACATTACGATGACTTTACTAATCATCTTTTCACCCTTTCTTTTACTTTTTCAATAATTGCTGTCTCAGAAACCTGGCTTAGTGACATTGATAAGAACTTGGATTGTTTCCCTTCGTACAAATCTGAATACGCCTACCGTCTATCCAGTAATCATGGTGGAGCTGCTATCTATATCTCGCCTGATATACCCTACAAACGCAGACACGACCTCACCCTAAATACTGAGAATTGCGAATCAGTTTGATTAGAATTCGATCCCAACTTTCTGAACATAGATACTAGAAATTTCATATTCAGTTGCATTTACCGATCACCTTCTTCCTCTGGATCTGATTTTTGCATTTCCTTAGAAACAATGATGCCAAAGCTATCTACAGAGAATAAAAATCCTATAATTATGGGTGATATAAACTTAAACTTATTGGATTCATCTGTGCACTCTCTTAGTTATTTATCCTGTTTTCATAGTTTTGGTTACGAATGCTTTATTAGCGTCCCTACTCGCTCTATTCACGGTGGTTCCAGCACTCTGATCGATCATGCATTGTCGAATCTTCTGTATCCACCTGACGTAGGAGTTCTTGGAACAGACGTTACGGACCACTTCTCCATCTTTCTGCGCACTATATCTGCCCACTGTTCATATTCCAATTGCTACACGAAACTCGTTTTTGACAAAAAAGTCATTCTTAGAATCCGTTTCCAATGGTGACTGGTCTTTTGTTCTTAATACTAATGACCCGCCGTTAGCTTACTCACAATTTCTGACAAAGTTGTTATCACATTATTAATCGTGCTCCCAAATGCGCAAATGCAAAAAGAAAGTGGCATCTCCGAGAAACCCTTGGGTTACCGAAAATCTCCTTAAAGGGATGCGCACACAGTGAAAAAAAACAAAAAGACAGCCTTTCAATGTAAACTTACGTGTGCGCTATAAGAGATTTTCCAACTCACTGTCTGGTCGACTTAAAGAAGCTAAAGCCAAATATTACGAGGAAAAGATACTTAAATGTGGTCTTGATGTAAAGAAAAAATGGGAGATAGTGCATTCATTTTTGAATAGAAAACAAGCAACCGATAATATATCACAAATATACCATAATGGTAATACTTATCTTACGCCACTTACGATTGCAGATGATTTTGGTTACTTTTTCATTTTCTGATGTCAATCCACCTGCACAGCAATCTTTATACGCCCCCCAACATCTTTCACAATCATTCTATATGTTTTCAACTACTCCTGATGATGTTGCATCAGTAATTCGGAATTTAAAAATAGGCTGCGCTGAGCTGGACAACATTCATCCAGGACATATCAAATTAATCTGTAAACCGATATCATTTGTCATGTCTCACATCAACAACCTCATGTTTAAAACGGAAACTTTTCCGCGAGAACTCAAACGAGGTAGAATAACTCCAGTTTAAAAAAAAAAAAAAGATCGCTCATTAGTATCCAATTATAGACCGATCTGTGTTTTACCTTTTTTAGCAAGGTCACTGAAAAAATAATTGAGGAACGATTGTTAAAATATATAAACAAATTTGATATACTTTCAACAGATTAATTTGGATTTAGATCAAGTTATTCTACTGAATCAGCACTTATATCTCTTATTGACCAACTAAAGAAAGCCATTGATGATGGTAAATATGCAGGTTCTTTATATTCGTCGACTTTACACGGGCATTCGATACCATCGATCATGACATTCTTAAAATTAAACTAGACTCAACTGGCATAACTGGTCCTCCTTTACTGCTGCTATGGCACTACTTGCAAAACAGGTATCAAGTCGTTAGTATATGCAATGCTTATTCTAAACCTAAAATTACTAATATAGATGTACCGCAGGTGTCAATTTTGGGCCCCTTGCGACTTTTAATTTATATTAACGATTAATGACCTGCCTAATTGTCTTACCTTCTTCAAGTGCATATTATATGCTGATGACACTACAATTTAACTCTAATGAAAATATATCAGTAATAATAAATGAGCTTAACAGTGACCTCCATAACCTGTTGGGTTTGTGTAAGACTAATAGACTTACTACTTAATCCCTCTAAAACTAAATTATTTTTGTTTTCACCAAAAAATAAATCGCCACCGTGCATTCCGCCCATATTCATTGATAACCATGCATTACCGGCAAGTGAAGAATGTGTTTACTTAGGGGTGAATATTGACCATCATTTAAAATTTCAAAACCATGTCACACAACTTAAAAAAAAAGTTATCTCACGGAATACACATCCTTATCAGAGCACGTCCAATTTTTTCACGTCCGGTCTTTCTCTCACTTTATTTCGCATTTGTGCATTCACACATCAATTACTGCATAACTTCATAGGGTAAGACGTACGCCACTCATCTGAAACCACTACAAATCATTCATAACCAGGCAATTCGATTAATCACATTTAGTTCGCCCACCCACAATGCTAAGCAGTTGCTACAAGAAATAAAATTCTCGATGCTGCCAGCCTTGTAAAATTCAATCTCGCCACTTTTCATTTCAAAGTAATTAATAAACAAATATTGTTATCAATTCATTCATCACCTTTACTAAATATTAACCCAACTCGTTTTGTGCAGCATAATAACTTCATTTTGCTCAAAGCATGAACTAATCATTGTAAACACACAGTTCACTTTGCGGCCATATCATTATGGAACAAAGTGCCATTTCTAATGAAAATTCGAGAACCACATAAATTTTGCCATAAATTGAAAAAAATTTTTTTATGCGACACTCACTCTTCTGCCTAACCGGTTTCTCCCTCGCCATGTCATTCTCTTTCAGTCTCTCGTTTTTTTTTTT